ATGCCTGAACCCCTATTCACAATATTGTGATACAGGTCATGGTTTAATAATAATGTGTGATAAAAAAAAATCCGTCAATTGTCATGATTGTGTGCATAAGGTATTTTGATGGGAGTTCCGAAGTGAATTAATAAACTCGTTATGACACTAAAAGTTGAATCCGAGTGGAGGAAAGTACCGAGAAAAAAAAAATCGGTAAGAATCTGATCCGATTATAAACAGTGCGTCCCCGAAACCAAATATTATCGAGAGCAAACTATGATCTGTATATTATTGCTTTTCATAAAGCAAATGTAATGAACTTTAAAATGAAACTTTGATTGAATAAATCCATAAAGGCTTCACCAAGCTACATGTGTATGCAAATGGCACGTCGAAATCCATTTGTGGCATATTTTGGAAAACAGTTAGTGTAACTTGGGAACCTAATGGAAATGTATGCTTTAAAATATTACTATGCAATATTTCCAGTGTGTGATTATGGACTTTCAAATGAACTGTTACACATACAGTGAGCGAAACCCGTTTCCTGGATGACAGGGGTGTATACCCCAGATTTTCCCAAAACCAATACATAAACTTCGAGCAAAGTGTTCTCTCCCTTTTTCTTTCTTTGTGTTCTCTCCCTCCCAATCCCCTAGTTAATTTACCCATTCAAATAATGGAACTACCTGCCCGATGAAGCCAGTTTGTGGCCAACTTCTTTTATGAGAAAATTATGGAGAGAGAGAAATAGAAACTGGAAGGAGGGGGGGGGGGGAGGGGAGAGAGTGCGCACGAATGGGAGAGGAATGGAGGACGGAGAGAAGGGGAGGAGGGAGGGGGTAGAGAGAGAACGAAAGAGAGAGAGAGAGAGAGAGAGAGAGAGAGAGAGAGGCGGGAGAGGGGGAGGGGAGGAGAGGTATATAAAGAAAGAGAGAAAGGGGGCGAGAGGGAGAGAACAAACAGAGAGAAAAATAGAGAACGGGACAATGGAAGGAGCGGGAGAGAGAGAGAGCGCGAAGGGGAGAGGAATGGAGAAGAGGGAGGAAGATAGAGAGAGGGGGCAGGAGAGGGGGAGGGGAGGGAGAGGTAGATAGACGAAGAGAGGCGGAGAGAGAACACAAAGAGAGAAAGGGAAGTGGAGGGAGGGAAGTGGAGGGAGGGAGAGAGAGAGAGCGCGCGCGTGAATTGGAGAGGAAGGGAGGAGAGAGAAAAGTTGAAGATGGAGGGAGAGAGGTAGAGAGAGAGAAAGGAAGAGAGAGGGGAGGGGAGGAAGAGGTATATAGATAATAAGAGAGGGGGCGGGAGGGAGAGAGAACACATAGAGAGAAATGGAAAATGGAGGGAGGGAGGGGAGAGAGAGAGAGCGAATGTGAGAGAAAGGGAGGAGGGAGGAGGGAGGAGGGAGAGGAGGGGAAGAGGGAGGGAGATAAAGAGAGAGGGTGCGGGAGAGGGGGAGGGGGAGAGAGAGGTAGATAGACGAAGAGAGAGGGAGCGGAAGGGAGAGAGAACACAAAGCGAGAAAGAGAGAAAAAAGGGAAAATGGAGAGAGGGAGAGAGAGAGAGAGAGAGAAGCGGGAGGGAGAGAGAACAGAAAGAGAGAACTGTGAAAACACAAAGGCGGATTTCATTTCTTATCCATGCCGCGTTGTAATTGTTAATCAACAGAAAAACACTCATTGGCTTATTTACAAAAATACCCCTTGGTGAATAAAAAATAAAGTCTGATTCCCTCCCTCACTGATATACAAATTCCATAACCAATGATTTAATATTTATTAATTAGGGGGATATCTTAAAAACGGTTACTTTAAACCATGTACAGGTATTCATACTGCTAACTGACATAGAAATAAATAAGTTATTGACAAATTTGTTCCTGCGTGGCCACCACACAGTCTTGTATTAAAATCTGATGAATTATAACAACTACAGTTTGCCCCACTTGACTTTATCTCACACACTCTCTTTCTCTCTCTCTCTCTCTTTCTCTCTCTATCGGTCTCTCTCTCTCTCTCTATCTCACTTTCGCTCTCTCAGCCTCTCTCTCTCTCTCTCTCTCTCTCTCTCTCTCTCTTTCTTTGAATTCATGTTTAAACAAAAGCAGCTGGTGTACGATAGTGGGAGTTCCAAATGTTATGCTAGTTCTCAAATAAAGGAACTGTGAATATTTGCAATTTATCCATAACTCTGTTTGAATGGGTGTACGTGTGATCATAAACCGTGAAGGCAAATAGCTAGCTGCCTGGCCTGTGATTGCAAAAGCGTAATGAACCGGAATAACTAACGACACATTTCCGAATGTGAAAAATGAAGGAATCAAAGGAAAATACCACCTTGGTATTATGCTGGTTTTATGCGAAGGAGAAATAATTATGAGAGAAATAGGTCAGTGGAAATGTGGGCAAAAGCCAGAAAGAAAACTAAGAAATAAATGAATTTTGAAGGTGCAATCGATCAAACACAAATTGGCAACTCTTTAACCTAAAGAAAAACAAATCATACAATGGAGTCGCATATTGCGTTGGTGTGGTGGATATCAAAAATATATAGGCCAGATTCTGGACTAGGTCTAGACTGGATTGGAGAGCTCGCTAGCGCTATGAAATGTGAATTTACATTAAGAAACAAAAAATTGCTGAGCTTTTTCTTGGAACACTTCAATGGTTATGAAACCTGTTTGTGTTTCTAATCTTAAAATGTTAATATTACTGCACATCAAATGTATTGATTTATACTATACTATGTAAAGGCTTACTTCAATACATACACATATACTTTTTTAACCAATAAGGTGCACCATTGTACATGTATCACAGTTTTAGCAAACACATTAACAAATAAGCTAGACATCTCATCAACATAGCCATTGTGAAAACTATATATCAATGATACATGACAAATATAGATTGAAGCAATTGTCGTCGAGTGGCTGTATCCTGAATGCGATTTATAATTCTATAATTGATTTTTAGTATATTTGCATCTACCTGTAGTTGAAGAATAGATACAGTGCATAAAGTGGAATATATAAAGATGTGGAGATATCAAGTGGGAGCTCAATAGGAATGAAGTAACAAGATATATTAGGAATATTATATTATTATATTAAAGCAAGAAAGACTGTGGGATGAGGAAAGCGAGAAGTCATTGTACTCGAGAGATGGCTCGCAAAATAGCCTTAAAGGTTATTTTGCGAGGTCTTGAGAGGAAGTAGAACGTTTTTAGTTAATTGGAGATTGGTGTAAGCATTAGAGAAATCGGAAATAGAATGAATGATATTCTTTTCTTTTATACGAGATCAATACATTTAATTATATGTGATTATTTGCCGAGCGAAAAGGGAAAATAGAGGGAGGGGAAGCTAGAGACAGAGAGCGATCGAATTGGAGAGGACGTGAGGAGGGAGATAAGGGGAAGAGAAAGAGAGAGAGAGAGAGAGAGAGGGGGGCGGGAGAGGGAGAGGGGAGGGGAAGATAGAGACAGAGACCGACCGAATTGGAGAGGACGTGAGGAGGGAGATAAGGGGAAGAGAAAGAGAGGGAGAGAGGGGGCGGGAGAGGGAGAGGGGAGGGGAAGATAGAGACAGAGAGCGACCGAATTGGAGAGGACGTGAGGAGGGAGATAAGGGGAAGAGAAAGAGAGAGAGAGAGGGGCGGGAGAGGGAGAGGGGAGGGGAAGATAAAGACAGAGAGCGACCGAATTGGAGATGACGTGAAGAGGAAGATAAGGGGAAGAGAAAGAGAGAGAGAGAGAGAGGGGCGGGAGAGGGAGAGGGGAGGGAGAGGTATATAGAGAAAGAGAGAGAGAGAGAGAGAAAGGGAAAATGGAGGGAGGGGAAGATACAGAGACAGAGAGCGACCGAATTGGAGAGGACGTGAGGAGGGAGATAAGGGGAAGAGACAGAGAGAGAGGGGGGCGGGAGAGGGAGAGGGGAGGGGAAGATAGAGACAGAGAGCGACCGAATTGGAGAGGACGTGATGAGGGAGATAAGGGGAAGAGAAAGAGAGAGAGAGAGGGGGGCGGGGAGAGGGAGAGGGGAGGGGAAGATAGAGACAGAGAGCGACCGAATTGGAGAGGACGTGAGGAGGAAGATAAGGGGAAGAGAAAGAGAGAGAGAGGGGGCGGGAGAGGGAGAGGGGAGGGGAAGATAGAGACAGAGAGCGACCGAATTGGAGAGGACGTGAGGAGGGAGATAAGGGGAAGAGAAAGAGAGAGAGAGAGAGAGAGAGGGGGGCGGGAGAGGGAGAGGGGAGGGAGAGGTATATAGAGAAAGAGAGAGAGAGAGAAAGGGAAAATGGAGGGAGGGGAAGATACAGAGAGAGAGAGCGACCGAATTGGAGATGACGTGAGGAGGAAGATAAGGGGAATAAAGAGGGAGATAGAGAGAGAGAGGGAGAGAGTGAGAGAGAGAGGGGGAGGTAGAGAGAGAGAGAGAGAAAGAGAGAGAGAGAGAGAGAGAAGGTGGGAGAGGGAGAGGGGAGGGAGAGGTATATAGAGAGAGGGGCAGGAGAGAGAGAGAGAGAACGCAAAGAGAGAAAGAGAGAGGAAGGGAAAATAGAGGGAGGGGAAGATAGAGACAGAGAGCGACCGAATTGGAGAGGACGTGAGGAGGGAGATAAGAGGAAGAGAAAGAGAGAGAGAGAGAGAGGGGCGGGAGAGGGAGAGGGGAGGGGAAGATAGAGACAGAGAGCGACCGAATTGGAGAGGACGTGAGTAGGGAGATAAGGGGAAGAGAAAGAGAGAGAGAGAGAGAGAGAGGGGCGGGAGAGGGAGAGGGGAGGGAGAGGTATATAGAGAAAGAGAGAGAGAAAGAAAGGGAAAATGGAGGGAGGGGAAGATACAGAGAGAGAGCGACCGAATTGGAGATGACGTGAAGAGGAAGATAAGGGGAATAAAGAGGGAGATAGAGAGAGAGGGAGAGAGTGAGAGAGAGAGGGAGAGGTAGAGAGAGAGAGAGAGAAAGAGAGAGAGAGAGAGAGAGAGAAGGTGGGAGAGGGGAGGGAGAGGTAGAGAGAGAGAGAGAGAGAGATAATCTGCAGATGTTGTCCTAAATTTTTCCAGTGGTTGTCCAGCTAACATACGCGAGTCTATGTAAACCGCTCGATAATTCGCAGTCGTTGTCTCGGACAACCACTGCAAGCTGCAGTGGTTGTCCCGATCGCGTCCCGACCACGTAATTCACGATCGCACACTTCGCCCTCCATAACACTGTAAATTTCTTTCAACATTTGTACATTGAAGATACCACTATTATGTTACAACAACAACAACAAATAATCTGTGATTTCGAATTTCGGGAATCCAAGTTGTACGGTAAATGTCTAATTATCGGAAAATATTGATACCTATTACATTTATCTTGTGACTACTCGCTATTTTAGGATTTTGAAAATACGTGAAAATAATTTAATACGAGATAACGCCGCTTGAGATGAGCAGAATGATGCTAATTGCTAACGAAGCTTCGAAGTTTGCCAAAGTGAAAGTAAGACTCGCTTGCCGGGAAGTCTGGCGGCTCTCGCGAGGAGCTAACTCCAGGTAGCTGCGCCCCCCAAGGCGTGGCGGCAGAGCTTCCTGGAGTTGACAAGTTGCCTACTGCACTGCCTACCGAGCTGAGCTGAGCTGAGCTGAGTGAGTACACAGCTACATTCAGATTCAGATCAATTTTAGGTTATCTAAAGTATAGGATTGCCCAATTTTATTGGTCCATTTGGAAATTAATTCGTTGGCATTACATAAACTAAAGTACATGAACAATACACAATAGAAAAAATGGCTGGGGTGATTCACTAACACTTTTTTTATAACACTTAGATCTAGTCTAACAGCTAAAAATTTATCCCATTTTTTTTACTTTAAATATTTTTTTTATACGAGTTTTCTTTGGGGCAAAATTAGTTTATATAATTTCAAATCTTTATTATGTTCATCAGAATTTGTTTAATTATATTTTGGGGAGATATCTCGGCAAAATTATTTATTTGGGTTTTTATAACTCCCCTTTTTCCATTATTGTTTAATATTTTAATGTACTTATACTTGTGTATATTTTTGTGAAAGATTTTGTATGTTATTATATGAATGTGTTTTTTGTAATGTGATTTTTATGGAAATGAATAAACTTAATTGAATTGAATTGACTTCATTGAATTGAAAATTGCTCTAGATCTAGATGATAGATCTAGCGAGTCGAAGTCTAATTCTAAACTCACTTTGCTGTTACATTTGATTTAATTTAGCCTTAGGAATTAGGCACAATATCACTCCTAAAAGCAATATCGCTTTTAGGAACTGATTCACTTCACTATAGCATTTGGGATTAATGCTAGAGTAGGGTAACTTTGACTTGGATTCTGAAACGAAATCCTGGATTTAGCTTGTGCTACCATCATAATTAATTAGGTCAGTCAGAAACCCCATGTCTTTTACAAGCCGATCGCCTGCCTGATTATCAAGATATTTATGATTGGAAATTGAAATTGAAATAATACATAGGTTTTTGTTCATGACGTTATGGCGATGCAGCGCTATTCACGTTGGCACAAAATACACTCGGCTACGCCTCAATAATTTTATTGCACCATAGTGAATACCCTCATGCGCTGCAACGACCATAACACATTCACACCTGTGTATTATTCACAATTAGTAGTCTAGATCTATTTCTGATTATTATTATTATTATTATTATTATTATTACTATTATCATTTTTATTATTATTATTATTATGGTTATTATGTTATTATCATCATCGTCGTCGTGGTTGTCATCATTATTATTATTAATATCATTATTATTAGGTCCTTTTCTTGTGATTTTGTTTCTTATTACCTATACTCCTTTTTATTTTTCAAATTAGATATACTATAGGGCCTACACACCCTATGCAGTCAACACATATTAACAAGGCAAATAAAGCATGTGTTAGGGCAAACATTATATTTCCCCTTAATGTTTAATGTTAGGGCAATATTATAGTTCCCCTTAATGTAAAATTTTTGGGCAAATATTAAATTTCCTCTTAATGTATAATGTTTTGGCAAATATTATATTTCCCCTTAACGTATAATATTAGGGCATTCATTATATTTCCCCTTAATGTATGATGTTAGTGCAAGTATTTTATTTCCCCTTTAATGTATAATGTTAGGGCAAGTATTATATTTCCCCTTAATGTATAATTTTAGGGCAAATACTAAATTTCTCCTAAATGTATAATGTAAGAGCAAATATTATATTTCCCCGGCCTTTAAGTATAATGTTTTGGCAAATATTATATTTCCCCTTAATGTATAATCAATGTTAGGGCAAATATTATATTTCCCCTTAATGTATAATCAATGTTAGGGCAAATATTATATTTCCCCTTAATGTATAAACAATGTTAGGGCAAATATTATATTTCCCCTTAATGTATAATCAATGTTAGGGCAAATATTATATTTCCCCTTAATGTATAATCAATGTTAGGGCAAATACTAAATTGCACGTTAATGTATAATGTTAGGGCAAATATTATATTTCCCCTTAACGTATAATATTAGGGCAAACATTATATTTCCCCTTAATGTGTAATGTTTGTACAAGTACTTTATTTCCCCTTCAAGGGGCTACCGGTATGCGTCTTTCCCAAGGCCCACTCGGGAAAAATCGGGTATAATAAGACTACGGACGACGCGACTGCAGAAGGACTACGTATTCACATGCATGCAACATACGCGAAACTGAAGCGTGAGGAGAACTTTGTTTTTATTTGTTTCGCGACCCTGACCCAGTTAATCAAGTCCATTCGTTTACGTACAGTTGTCCAATAGAAGACGTAGATGGCGTCAACCAGTATTTCTCATGCTACAGCCCCTTTAATGTATAATATTAGGGCAAATATTATATTTCTCCGTAAAGATACTATGTCCCTTTTGCAGCCTACATCAAATTCTGTAGAATTTTTTGCAGGAATTATGAATATATCATGCACATGTCCTATCTGTGAAATTTAAATGTTAGCAGTGTCCTAGTATTTAAATTATGCAAGGAAACCCAGTTACTTCTCTATTTTCTCCATTTTTACCATGATTTGTGATGTGCGTTTCAATTTTCCAATTTCAGGTGTGACATGTGAAGCCACAACAATTGCTAGCCCAACAGCTCTCATATTGACATCTACTGTAAAGTTAATCCAGGTACATATTTGTTGAATTATCTGACACAGTTGTACTTATTGATCCAATCATGGGACAGTACAGGGAAAATTCTACTTATTTATTTAATGCATTCATCCTTTAGGCTTTACAGTACTGATGTTTCTGGCTATCAGAAGTAGTCTTGTACATACATGTACATGTACATGTACATAACATTTTATTTGCTATGAATCTAGGTTTTTTGTTATGCCCTGTCATGCAGTGTTGCAATACCTAATTTTTCAGTAGGTATTTCACAGCCTCAATGATTCTTTTCTGTTTTTATTATGTTCAGGAGAATCCATAAGATAAACAAATATTAACACTCTAATGATAAAAAATGGGTTCTGAAATAATCCTGGTTCATGAACTTCTAAATGATTGCAGTTGTTTATGCATACAAACACATATGTGTGTATACTGCCTTGAGCCATCTAGTATGTTGAGTATTTATTTGAACCCCCAAAAGGTATCATTTCTAACGTGTCACTTCCATACTTCTGTACAGGATGTCATTGTCTAGTGACAATGACATAGTGCTTGTTCAGTGGGACAGAGATGGTCAGGAAAATACAGTTCTCAAGAATGAATTGTGCTACACTGCAAGACTGAAATTGGGGTCTAGAGCGGTGATGAATTAGACAGTTTGGAACTGATGGACCCTGGCCTGGAACAGTGACAGTCATTGCTGATTTTGACACAGAATCTAAAGCTGGGTCTGAAAATGACGATGTTCCACTTGCTTCTCTCAGAGAAATAGAGAGTAAGTGCACTAATTATTTCATCCTGTAATATATCATAACAATATAGATATTGATTATAATAGAAAATATTTTGATGTGCATAAACACCAGTCCTCTTGAAATTTGGATTTTTATGATAAATAATAGTAAAGAATATATGTCTTGGTGACTTGTAAACACAATCATACAATATATAGTTATAAAAAAGAGTATTAATAAGATCATAATGTAACATATTTAGATATTAACAAAGTTACCAACACGTTACAAAATATTATCCTATATTTTTAAAGAGTCTGTCTGCACTCAAATTCCTGCAAGTGTTCCCTCCAGCAACCAGGCCTCTGTAAGTGAACCCTTTCGCACCCAGGCCCCTGTGAGTGCGACCCTCCAATACCCAGGCCCATGTGAGTGGACCCTTCTGCATCCAGCCCTTTGTGAGTGGGAATAGAAAGTAATTGTAATGTTAGTTCTTCTTGTAAGATATCACAACAAAATAATTTAGGCGATGTGTATGTACATACATGTAGATTTTAATAAACATAAGGTGATCTGTAAGGCGCTTTGGATCAATTCAAGTGGCTGTAATCACGCGTGCATCCTGCAATGCAGCCTAGTTTGTGTGAAAGCTGTGATTGTCCTAATCCCCTTATTCATGCGATGCTTGGGGGCTCTGTGCTTTTAACTCTCACACCATGCAGGTGCCACAGAACTGGGGGACTGGGGGGACAGCACCCACTTTTTTGTCTTGCCTGCATAGCGAAAAGCGAGACATAGCCGCCGCTTTTCCGGCGGCGAAGGCGTCAACATCAATAACTCGACCTCAGGTTAAGTTTTTGAAATTTTAGTATAATTTTGAAAGTAAAGTTCTTATTCCATGAAACTTACACTAAAGGATTATCATGCATCCCCGATCATGTGAGTAGAATTTCAGGTCACTAAGTTAAGGTCAAAGGTCATTTCAGGTCAACAAACTTGGACTATGTTGTGGCATCAACATCTAAACTTAACAAAAAGTTACAGTTTTGAATTTTATCTTAATTTTGAAAGTATACATTCCTATTCCATGAAACTTGAACATAGGGGTTATCAAGTATCATCAATCATGTGATTAGTCTTTTAGGTGACAAAGTAAATGTCAAATGTAATTTAAGGTCTGCAAACTTTTTCTTTGTTGTGGTATCAACATCGAGATTTTGAATTTTTAGCATAATTTCAAAAGCATTTGTTCAAATTCCATGAAACTTGTACAGAAGGGTTATCAAGTATTACAGATCATATGACTCAAATTCCAGGTCACAAAGTTAAGGTCAAAAGTCATTTAGGTGAGTAGACTTGGTTATGTTTTCACAACTTAATATGAGAATCAATAAATCATTATGTTTTCATAACTAAATATGATGATTGATAAAGCAATTTTTATTATTTGTTGATATTCCATTAAAGTAATCACTCTTGGTACAAATTATAGTAAATAATTCTTCTGATGATTCTTAGCCAATATTCACTTCAAAATGCTGATTATATTCAGAGGATTTCAAATGTATATATATATATATATATATACCAGTATATCGTTAGTGGGGTGACAAAACCTTGTACATGTATCTCAATTTTGTGAGATTTTGATTTTTTTTGCATAATTTTGTACCTAATGGCCTACGACACCACCTGATAAATCCATGGAATGCCTCTTTCTCGGTTTTTTCATAAATTCCACACAAACACCCTTAAATTAAACCTCGTAACTTTAACCCCCTTTGAAGCTGCACTGACAAAACCTTGTATCATAAGATACGTAATTCCTTTTCCTCGTAACTCACACACGGCCTAACAGTACCGAAGTTAGTGTATTCAAATCCTCGTAACTTATTCAACCAAATCCTCGTAACTCATTCAGAGTTGAAAGTAAGAACTTGTATCTCAATTCGAATACAAACTCAAAACTTGTATCTCAATGTAGATAAACGCAAAAATCTCGTAACTCACTTTCAAATATAAAAACAATTATTTTACTGTATTTCAACAATGACATTAAAAATTATAATATAAATATTCCAGTTTTAAAAAGAAAGGACAGTGTCACAGCACTAAATTTATTGAGACAGGAAAGTTTTTTCGCTCTCCTGAAAATTCATGATTTTTGAGATACTGGGTTTTGTCACCCCACCGACGATATATATATATATTTTTTTTTTGGGGGGGGGGGGGCTGTTAATGGGCCACCCTGCCTATAAATAATGTCCCAACCTCAATTTTTCATCATATCGAATTGCGTAATGCAAGCGAGAGCGTTAGTAGACACGTATCATAAAATCTCAAAAAAACAGGTTTATAAATTGTTAATGCTCAGGCGCTCCCCCCTTTTAAAAACACTCCACAGCCCCTGCAATGTAAAGTCAGAATTCAGATTCCCTTCCCCCAAAGGGAGAACTTATCAAGAAAATTTATATATCAAACATTTACAAGTCGTACATTCATGCCCTTTCTTCCTTTAATATGTTTCGCTTTGTTGTAGCTTTATTTGTCACATTTTTTTCTTCCAAACTTATTATTTTGTGGGGTTATGTTCACAATTATTTGATTTCCGGAACACTCATGAAAAGATTATCATTTATAAATGAATGGCGCAAAATGTGAACTCTTTGAATGACAGTGCCGTAAAAACCAAACAACAACAAAAACAGCAGCCTTCTTTTTTTTGTCTTATTCTCAAGCAAGGTTTTTATTTCTATAATTTCTATACATATTTACATTTATTACTCAATGATTGAGTGAAGCTTAACATGGCTAAAAAATTAAAGTATGTACAACAATTCTTCCAGCTTAGTATTTGAATAGTTGAAGAAAGGGAAAAATAGAAGTTTAGGATGTTAGGCTTTTTCATTTGATCTGCAAAACATGTAAAATAACAATGACAGATTTAGTACATGGTTCATGTTACACAAGATACAATACAAAATATATGACTATGCCAAGTAACTGTATCTATAAACATTTATTTATTAAAAGACATTTTGCTTTTGTACTATAAACTGTCAATCTTGACCTCATCCTTTACCTATCCAAAATTCAGAGTAAACAATGGCTACGAACCTTTTGCATTTCCTAATATGCACTACTTGATAAACTCATATTTTCAGAGTTTCTCAAACTGACTTGGCTTTCCTTTGAAGGGCCACTCTAACCAAAATGGGCTAAAAAAAATTTAAAAGAGATGTAGAATAATTTTTGGCGGAGATTCCGAACATGACAATGATTTTTCTTAGATATCGTCAACAATTCTGGAATCTAGCTTTAATAATGATGACTCAGAATGCGCAGGAAAAAAGCCCAGTTTCGGTGATGATGCATTTGACGTCACTGCAGGCGCCTCTCCGGTGAAAAGGAGGGTGATTTAGGCATTAAAATGTCTTTAAAAAGGCAAACTACATGTATGATATTAATTAATTTTTTTTAAAGATATTTATCAAAAAAATAATATGCACTTGATAATCCCAGTACGTTTCTGGCAATTTTGTCATTCCTAGTTATGAAATTATCAAATCGGACATGCCCGCAATGACGTCAAATGTGTCATCAAGCCACGTGACCATATTACCTTTTTTTGAGAACTATGAAAAATGGATGGCTATTTGCATTTTTGGGTCAATTTAGAGATTTTCTGAAAAATCAGAGGCTGGAATAGTAATAAGTAGAGGTGAATTCATGTTTTGTAAGGCTAGGTTAGTTGGGTTAGAGTGGCCCTTTAAACAGATTACTGCCAATTTGCATAAACCAAAATAACTGTAAATATCTCTATCTTGCATCCATACACAAGCTTGTTTATGCACATCTGTCTGCAAAGCATAAATTTGTGCTAAACCTCAATATTGGATTGTCACTTTAAATGTATTGTATGACCTTCCACTGGCTTTGACAGGCGCTTAATTTGCATATCTCTGCTCGCCTATAAAAAAACTGTCTTATAAAATGTCTTCATTTAATACAACACTGTTTAATGAATTTAACTTAAATATCTGACTTGCTCTAAAACTTTGCAATCAAGAATTGTTTAAACCACAGGATTTTTTCCAGTAATAATCTATAGATTACACTTGATACAAAATAAACTAACTGGCATAACCTGTAATTTGCACCTGTAATCTACACTTGAAATGTACATGTACACCTGTACTACAGTAAGCCTTTTGAGTTCTGAATAAACACTTTCTTTCAATTCTTACTCAAAATACCATACCAGAGGTGCAAAGCTTTACCTTTCACCAAGTCAATAAACAGTGTCTTGTAATCTAAATCAAATTTTACAGACCAACTTTAGTCACCCAAACAAGCTGCATAAAATTCAAGATTGTATGCACAATAATAAACATTCCTTTATTTTCAGGACGTCTATAAATATACACTTTTTACTTTATAAATGACATAAAACTATATTTCCCTTTTACTGTAATTCTGTTTTTTCAATTATTATTTAACTGGAAAAACACATGAATAAAAGTATGTCTCATGGGCGCGGCCAATTTGGAATCAATGCCACACATGCATTATGCTAATGAGTTCAGTACAGTTATGCAGAGTTTGACTTGAATCCATCTTATTTTCTGTTTTATGAGTTCATATTCCAGTTATAATGGTGGGACAAAACTTTGTTGAGAATACTGGTACAGCAACTGATGGTAAACTGATGAACTAGTCAGACTTGACTAGAATTCTGGCAGCTTACTGCTATGGCTGAAGAATATGGCAACAGTGACAAGCTTGACCTATGGGAGCTTTAAAGTCCAAAAAAAAAAGAGAAAATTTAAAACAAGCAAAAACTTTTCGCTCCGCAAAACAGTATTTTTTTTCTTTGCTATTAAACACATTCTGATTCATACCTTTCAAAAAATCTTAGCTGCTTGAAAGCTGACCAAACCCTCTTTTCACTTTGGTCACACCCCCCCCCCCCCACCCTTAACCCAAGGCTGTTACGTAACTCGGACATTCAACATTGTCTTTGCCCAACCCTGCCAACCTATATGGGCACATTAAACAGTCGTGTATTGAATGGATGTCACAAACAATACACGGGTCAACGCTTACCCTTTGTTTCTCGACCCCCCCCCCTATTAAACTCGCCTTTCATGCTATGGCTACGTCACGTTCACATATTATGTGCCATATATATGTTAGTGATTGTGATAGATTTTGAGCAAATGAATTGAAATTAGATAACAAAAAAGTATTAAACAGGGAATCAAGAACAACAAAATCATATTGCTAGTTAAAGATAAATGCAAGCAAAGGAAGATGGATATATTATATTTGGAGTTCAGAAATAAACAATATGAAATGAAACAATAGGAGTGATCGAGAGGGAGGAAAAGAGAGGATGGCATCTCGGACATTCAATGCTGCCTTTGCCCAACCCCTCCGGCCTATATGGGCGCATTAAACAGTCGTGTATTGAATAGATGTCACAAACAACACACGGGTCAACGCTTACCCTTTGTTTCTCGACCCCCTCCCCTCCCCCTTCTCTATTAAACTCGCCTTTCATGCTATGGCTAATGAAATTATGATATGATTATGATATGAAATTAGATAACAAAAAGTATTAGACAGGGATTCAAGAACAACAAAATCATATTGCTTGTTAAAGTTGACATAAATGCAAGCGAATTAAGGAAGATGGATATTATATTTAGAGTTCAGAAATAACAATATAAAATGAAACAGTAGGAGTGATCGAGAGGAAGGAAAAGAGAGAGGAAGGAACTGAATTAAGGCAAAATAAGAGAATAGGATCATGGGAGGGAATTCAATAAAACAATCAACTATAAGTTAAATGAAAATGTGAGGAACAAACAAAGATCAAAAGTCTATCAAAGTATTGATATATAAAATGAAAAGAATCTAACACATTCACACTGGTATAAAACAAATTTAAAAAACAACAATAACACAAAAAAACGAAAGGGCAAAATAAACCTCTCAAACGTTGTGAGATTTTATGAATTATATCTTTTGTAATACTTTTCTAAGCTTGATAAAGAATGGTTTTTTTCTTATAAACTGAAGACGATTAATTGGATTCAAAAATTTTGAATCACTTTGGTTTGATAAAGAACGTAATTAAATGTTGGGATCCGAATGTGAGTGGATCACCAGGTGGAATATAGGTGCAACAGAACAATTTTCCTGAAAACAATCGTTTGAAAACTTGAAGCCTGGCGCAAATACAAGAACATAATATTAGCTAATTGCAACATACATGTGCACCCCCCCCCCTCCTCTCTATTAAAATCGCCTTTCACGCTATGGCTATGTTGGGTTCACATATTATGCGCCATACATGTATATACAGTATGTTAGTGATTGTGATAGATTTTGAGCAAAATAATCAAAATTACATAACAAAAAAGCATTAAACAGGGAAACAAAAAAAATTGAAAACACATTGTACATCAAGAGCATATTTACATGTAGGATACACAGTATAGTACATATTGAACTTTAACCACAAAATTAGAAAGAGAAGTATAGACAAGAGTAAAAAATGAACAAGTTTGCAGCACAGAAATAGATAATGAACATGAAATGGGAAACTGCAAAAGAACCAAATAGAGGTTCTGTCAAGGCAGTCCCCAGCCTAATAAAATACCTAAGTTTGTACTGATAAAGACTTAGACAATCATAGTGACACTATGGCATAAAGTTATAAAAGTTGGGATGGATTAATTATTTTGTAGAGTATGTGAATAGGAAACACTTAAGTTTTTATTGAAAAGTATTAAGAAATAAAATTGTTTCAACCAAATGAGGAAGAGAGTTCCATAATGAAGGTCCTTTGTATTTGAAAGAAAAGGATGATGCTGTGTTTTTACATTTTTCAACATAATAATTTGCCGGATTTCTAGTATTATAATTATGCATTTCTGTTTTACATTTAATAATAGAGGCAAGATTATATGATAATTTGTTAGGTTTATGTTTGAAGACCATTAATGAGATACAGTCATCATTCAATTGATAGATAGTGAGAAGATTAAGTTTTGTAAATAGTGGTTGTGAAGGAGCAGTATAGTTTCAAGTTTCAAATTTGTATTGTTCCACATTTTACAAAAAATATAGACATACATATAAAATAAAAAATTATACATACAATTGTACTACATGTATAAATGTGCATGTCTCAATGATTCTCAATTCATATAAAAGATTAAGTAGAATGTGAGGAACCTATTAAAAAGCAGTGCTTGTATATTATAGGTTCCTGGAAAAATAAGTAATGTAGATGTAAACGCCGTAGCAGTAGCAAAAGACAAACTTAGAGGGGAATATTTAAAATACAATTTGTATACAGAATAATAATGCATTAGCATCGAAACCCAGAGTCACCCGTTTAAATGCGTTGTCAAAATGCGTAGTGAGACATTGAACATATTCTTACAATTTCATTTTTGCAATTTCAATAATCCAAGTAGCCTACTGGGATATGTATTGGCTCATACAACATTGCAATACATTAAATTACTATAGGTAAAATCATTGAATTGTTTTGATAGCATTTTTGATAGTGGTGGTTATTTACCTGACAGCAATGAAAATGAAAGCAATAAATGCTTGTTAGTAAGCCGGGTCACTGGATTACGAGACCACTGCTCTACCGACTGAGCTATCGCGCCTTATGTACCGTAAGATTAAAATATATTCTGGCAAAAAAATGGCGCAGTTTGCTGATGACACCAACATTCCTTGATATTTGTTTAGATATAGTACATTGTAAATATATGTTCAATCCATGATAAATGTTGATCGATAATAACTCCTTAAGATATTTGTAAATTGGACACGTTTTATGATTACATTATTCAAACTAATATTAAGATTGGTTAATAAATTTTCTCTAATTGTATTGTGTCTATGATGGAAGTATATAAAGCTAGATTTGGAAGTATTAAGAGATAACTTATTGCAATCAAACCACTGTGAAACATGGCATAACTCCTCATTAAGAAATTGACATAAACCATTAAAATTTTCATGACTATAATATAAAGGATACAGGGAGGAAGGAGCTGAATTAAGACAAAAATAATAGAATAGGATCATGGGAGGGACTATATAGCCTTCCCGCGTGCGAACTTAGGTTAGTCCGCCGTGGCGGATCGTGCATGGTATTTGATCCAAGGCACCTAAATAAGACAAGTCTTCTCTCAATTTGCAATTTATGTGGGAATAACAGTAATGAAGGTCGAAGTGCAACACATTTAGATAATAAACAATGTGACCCCACCTTCCAAAATATTGTCCTTTTTTTATTTTACAGGAGGGTACCCTTCTGCACTCAGCCCCCTGCAAGTGGACCCTCCAGCAACCAGCCCCCTGCGAGTGGACCCTTCTGCACCCAGACCCCTCCGAGTGGACTCTCCAGCAACCAGCCCCCTGCGAGTGGACCCTTCTGCACCAAATCACTTGTATCAAATTTTTAGGTCGTGATATCTCCGGAATCCTTTCACGATCAATTTTCTAGTTGAAGCAATTTTTAGTAAAAAACTTTGCTGTCCATTTGGTAATAATTGAAATAAACACATTTGTGTAGAATATGAGAAATCATTGATCGATGTCACATTTTCTAATATATTTTCAAAATCTCTGCGAACTTTGGTCACCCCATCATACATATGTTACCATCAATTTTGCTTTTCAAAAGTTTGTTTCAAAGAGAAGTCCTGTCAACAAGATTGAATGCCTTTCTATAATTAATAAAAGCACAGAAGAACTTTTCTTTATTGGAAAGATCTAAATCAATTAATGTATGAAGTACAAAAATGTGATGAAGCGTTGGATGACCGTTATGAAAACCAGGTTGTTCATCCCCTATCAAGTTATTGTATTTGAGAAATGTAGTAAGACGCTCATTCAGAACTGCAGTAAACAACTTGCCAAACCAACTGAGTAAGGTTATACCTCTGTAATTATTAGGATAGGGCTCCCCTTTTTTATGTCTCTGTTACGAAGTAGCCGGAGGCATTATGTTTTCGGGTTGTCCGTCCGTACGTACGTACGTCCCGTTCTCGTGATCGCATTATCTCAAGAACCAATTGATGGATTACCGCCAAACTTTAGTCATGTATGTAACTTGCAGAGCCAATGAATTGATTAGATTTGGGGGTCACGAGGTCAAAGGTCACAGGGCTCATTATGTATGCAAAAATTGAATAATATTTCAAACTAATAAAAAATAATGCTCCAAACATTCAAAGTATAACTTTAATATGAAGAGGCTATTTCACTGAAATCTTCGGCGACACTCTTGCGATCATAAAAAGCCTAAAATAAATCAATAATTTGAACTGAAATGTATTGAATTGAAATAAAAATAGAAATTAAATGGCAAGTTGCTATATATTAAAGCCAAATTGTATTTTTTAAACATGTTTATCATTTCAAGTCAGCTCGAGTGAAAGTTGGGCATAGAAGAAACTCTGGTGGAAGTGGTAAAGAGAAGTTGATTGAGATGGAATGATCATGTGTTGAGAATGATGAGTCTCTTAAAAGAGCATGAGATCTGGAAGTGGGGTGCATTAACTGCATTACCAAAGATATCATGGAAACATGAAAAAGAAAGAGAATATCAAGGGTGATGTGAATGAAAATGATGCATGTGACAGCAGAAAGGAGGGAGGGAATGTCTGACAGAAGAGTGACACTTTGTAAGAGAGAAAAATGCGGTCTTGAAGGAAACCTAATGATTATTAACGTACAAGATTCACCAGTAAAGTGTGGGAAAGAGGTTTAAAGCAATTACATGTAGAGTCAACATTGCATAAGTTAAATCTAATGAGATTTATGAAATAGTTTCAACTTAGACAAATTTTGACTTACATGGGCAAAATACAATAGACAATAAGTAGTGAGTATTGAGATTACCTTCGACTAATACAACATTTTGATTTAATCGAGTTCCACTTTTTTTTCTTCTTTTATTTATCCTCTTTCGAGGGACTTTATTTGTCCATATCATAAAATAACAGCTATTTACAACAGTGTTTAAATACAAAATTCATGCAATTGTAACATATTATACATAGTACAGGACATGAAACTAATGTGACATAATCACTAACTAAAATAATGAAAACATTTTTGTAACTTTTGTAACTTCGTTTGTATCGAATTTCTTTTGATTACATTTCATATTAAAATAGGTGCGAATTTCCACCTTTAATTCTTTTATCAAATATACAGCATGTTTCCTGTGCTTTTCACTCCCAAAACATTCTCTAATATAGTTTCTATAGATTATAAACTGAGCGAAGTTTAAAATAAGATTGACAAGATTAATTTCTCTTCTCTCTATTTCATGACCTATTAAAAGAATTTCTTCGTTCAAAAAGATTTTAAAATTAAACAAAGTATCAATTAATTTGGAAACAATCTTCCAAAAAAGTGAAACCTTCTTGCAAGCCAGGAGAAGGTGGTTAGTTGTGTCTGGAATCTTACATATATCACATAGATTATTATTTTTAATCTTCCATTAACATAAATTGTCTTTACTGGGCAATATTCTATGAGTTATACGAGTTCCACTTATGCAAGGTTGACTGTACGATAAAGTACAATCCTCAGCAAAACTTGATAATTTTTTTCTTTTCTTCAAACAATGGCATACTATGCAAAGTTGTTAATACCAAGATGTGCATGGCGATAACACAATTTCATTCACCTATTCATTTGCAATAATATTGACAGAATGAAAAATCTTTGCATATTTTTAAAAATTCAATATTTCATTCAGTTGAATGAAAAGTAAGGTTTGTACACATTTTAGTTTTGCAGGAATTATGAATACATGTCATGTATGTGAAATCTAAATCTGTGAAATTTAAACGTTAGCAGTGTCCTAATATTCAAATTATGCAAGGAAACCCGTTTACTTTCTAGACTAGACTGTCGGACACGATTGAGTGACTAACTGGCTTTTTTTCTTCTTTGGTAAAAACATACATACATTGAGCTGTAAAGGGTACATGAGCATTTGCTACATCAATAACCCACTTCTTGTAATGGCCAAAATTAAACTGATTGAATCTTTGCGCAGCATAAAACGTATGACCATTCGGTAAAATGGTCTGAAAATCAGACTATTACCAATACTTACTGGCTCTATAGCTCTTATGTCGATTTGACAACTAATATTCGTTATTTTCCCACTTAAAGACATTTTCAAGCCCTGGCCCCCCTTTCTCCCCTTCTAAGTTGAACTTATCTCTAAGTTGGACTTAACAATTATGGAAAGCCGTTAGCATCTATGAAAATATTTTGTAAAAGTGAATTTTAAAGGCATTAAATGTTGATTCAAATCATTCATATTTTCTATTATCAAGGAAATTTCATGTTCTTGATGTGGAATTTATAAAGAGTCTAAAAAACTCGAATTTTCGCTTTTGAATATATTTTATTTTAAGACTACAAATGGCTCTCCATAATTTTTAACTTCGACTTAGGATCTTTGTGAAACATCCCCCAGGTCCACGTTCCCTTGCCAAAAGCATGGCAGGTCACACAACATGTAATACAAATAAAGCAGTGATGCATTACAATTACAAATATGTATTAATCATGCATAATTACATTTATATAATAATCATGCATTGTTACAATCATATATTAATCATTGATCAATTATTGTTACAATTATATATCAATCATGTATAGTAACAATTATATATTAATCATTCATACATTGAGCATGTGGATAAAGGCTGGGAGTAGGAAACAATGTAAAAAAAATGTTAAAGAGATGATAAAGTAAAGGGTACATTACAGTTTCGAGATAAAGTGTAAAAAAGTAATTCTACTTGTAAAGTGCTTTATAGAGACATTTGTATTAAGCGCTATATAAAAATTAGATATTATTATTATTAGTATCGATAAATTGGAGAAGAGGAGAAAGTAGGAGAAAGAAAGAAAGGAGAGGAGAGAAAGAACAAGCAGATGAAGTAAAGGAGAAGGGTAGAGAGGTAGGTGAGGAAGAATGAGAGAGAGGGGGAGAAGAAGAGGACGAGGAAGAAGAAGAAAAGACACAGAAGACAAAATAAGAAAAAGAAGAAAAAGAATAAATATTGAGAAGAAAGAAGTGCTGATTAAAGGTCAAGGTATTTCACATACCCCCCCACCATGATTCTTTTCTTGCATATAATATGACAAAGGGATGACACAAACTGCGTATCTACTTATATTCTGAAAGAAACTATTCAAGCGAAGAGGGACTGAACATTTCCTGAGTACCCACTTTAGCCTATTTGTGTTGTCCCTATCTGTTTTCCCCTTGCTCCTATCTCGATAGCATGGTATGTAACACTGTAACCATTGTTTCTTACTTCGGCCACAAGTTCTTTGTACCAGTCAAGCTTTATATTGTGACCATCATTGGTATTTGTCTCAAAAGGCACTGTTAATTCAATCAATAGCATTTGTTTCATTGATTCCCAAATAATGATGAGATCTGGGCATTGAGAACTTACCAAAATGTGGGGTGGGATGGTTCCGCTCGCAACGGTGAAACCCTGAATTTCGGCATAAACTTTTTCCTTTATTTAGACTTACATGTATATGTACAAGTCATGTATTATTAGAAAAGATATATAATTTTGCTATATGAAAGTGATAATGAAAACTAAAGATATAAACAACAAAACTTAACTAGATGGATTCTCACCAGATCTGAAATATATTGCACACCCCCATGTTGACTATTTTTTCTTCAGGATATGAGCTTAAAAAAATCTATATTTAATGAGATAACTATCTGAAGCATGTACCAGGTTGCAGTTGATTCGTAAAATGGTTCTTAAGTTATCACAAGAACAAACAATTTTCATGTATACAACAACCTACAAGTACGTGACCTCTGATCACATGACCCCAAAATCTACTCAGATCATGGTCAGATCAGTCCAATATACATAAATGAGCCAAGTCTGATGTTAATTCAACACATTTAAAACAAATGTTATCGCTAGAACGAAAATGAAACAGACAGATGGCAGACAACCACCTTAGGTAGGCTAAGAATCGCACATATAATAATACAGGTGTAATAATAATAATATTCCGCTTTTATATAGCACCCGATACATCAATACAGATATATATTATCACCCCGGTCATCGGATTCAGGCTTACCTGCACACAATGTATGCACGTTCTCCACTCCCTGGGGAGCATTCTGGCCAGTCCCCATTTTACAAATGCACACTCACTCATCCAACCACATTAACTTTTGCATCCTACCACATACTCATTTAACACCTGGGTGGAGAGTGGCAAATGTAGATTAACTTCTTGCCAAATGACATTAGTGCTGCGGCGGGACTCGAACCTGTACCTTGTGACCTGCAGTCGGATGACTTATCCACTAGACCACAGCACCTCTAGGATAAAAGTAAATTTGAGTGATCACATTCCTGGAACTGTTGGTACAATAGATTGCAGCACCAAGCATATTGGCCCGAATTCACAAAGCAAGGTTTGAGGTCAGACCAAGGTTTGAGCTCAAACCTCCTTTTGTTTCGCCAAACCTCCTTTTGTTATTTACAAACCTGGTTTGTAAATAACAAAGGGAGGTTTGGCGAAACAAAAGGAGGTTTGAGCTCAAACCTTGGTCTGAGCTCAAACCTTGCTTTGTGAATTCGGGCCATCAGTTTAGGACATCTCCACCTGAAAATCAATAAAAAGATAAAGATATAGGCATAAATAAAATAGTAAAACAAGTCAAACTGCATGCGTTGTCTTGCCTGCACCTCGCAATTTGCCTATTAAGTATGAGCACTACCGATTGATATCTACCGACTACCGGTAATGAGAAATTACACCTGTAGGTAACATTTGGCCAAATTAACTAAAAACAGGTGAAATGACCAACCACTGGACATAAACACTATTCATTCAATAAAACATAATTTATTTTTAATCTTGGTGATGAAATTTCTTCCTCATAATTGTTGGGTGCAGGTTTACTGAAATTTGGACATATACTTTCGAAATGAGAATTTAACATAAGGTTGAATTTTTAAAGCAAAATAAAACACAAGTGACCATAATTAACCTTTGGCCATGACCTTGGATATAAAAATTCTTCCACATAATCTATATGTATGATCCTTAATAATGATTGGGTGCAATTTTTATCTAATTAATACATATTTTAAAGTTTCAGAAGTAATATTAAACATAATTGACTTTTGACCTTGACTTTGGTCATGAAATTTCTTCCACATAATAAAGTGATGCTTGATATTTGTTATGTGCAATTTCCATCAAATCTGGACAAAACCATTAAAAATGAGAGTGATTTTAAATTGTTGATGCAGCCGTAGGAAAAAAGCAGTACCTATGTCTCGCTCTAGCTATGCAGACGAGACAAAAAATCTTCAGACAATCATGACAATTAAACAATGAATCTTTAAATCACTCTGCTAAGTACGTTTTTTTAAACCCCACTTTACATGTGCATGTACCTTCTTATAAAAAGAAAGAAGGCATTGATCACAATGGTAAAACGGAAAATAAAATCATGAATGACAACCCTCTTTCTAGAAAAGTTTCCATCATGATGTATTTGTATATATAAATGTCACATGACACATACAGCCCACTAGACACTACAAAAAGGCCCCCAAGCTAAAAAAAAATGCATAATACAGGTATTGAGTCTAGCTCATGGTCTTTTTTTAAAACTAGGTGTCTAGCTTGTCAGCCTTTTTTTTTACCTGTACAGTCTACCAGGTGTCTAGCTTGTGGGCTGTACCAGATAGGGAGTATTCAATTTTGTGAAAAAGATGCATAGAATAATCTTTAATATCACATCCAGGCCAAAAAATGAAGTTATTTTTAAGTCACTCACCAACTGTGAAATCATATAGCCCTTGCTGCTGGAGAAGTAGTAGTTACTTTGGGTTTTCAATATTCACCAGATTGCCTCCACATTTCGCAGTCAATGGTAATTCCAACTGCAGAATTCCTTTTACTGCATAGTGCAACCATGTATTCTGGGATGAATTTAGAAAACATAAAATATATGAATTGATACAATTGACTACTGTAGCAAATCAATTTATGTGATGAATAATCGTTCAACAGATAGCATCAACTCAATTGAGATTCATTATCAAATAAGATAATATTCAAGACAAATAAGGTGTACAAATTAACCTTATACTAGCATATGTCACTTAAAAAAAGAAAATAATCACACTGTTATCATGTCATGTCATGTCGATAACATATTCTCACTGCACATTCTACCACACAGTAATTTTCAAGATATTGACGCGGTGGGGAGGGGGGGGGGGGGGGAGCTGTCCTATACTTATTTGAATGTTAAAAATAGCACATGTGCCAGAACCTATCTACCGGTAGTCTTTTTCCAAATTGTATGGCGGTATGAGACAATAATGTGCAGTAGTCCGTGGGCCAGAGGGGGCTACCGTGCACCCCACCTATGATCCTACTTTTTGGGTGTCATTTTGTTCATTGGGGTCAATAATATAAGAAAAAAGATGTTCCCAAGAAAAAAACTCATTTGGACACTGTTTTTTTGCTCCTTATTTGAAGATATGTAAAAATGTCAGTTTTTCGTGTTTTGCACACTTTCTTAGGGTTTGTGAATTATGTGCTTACCTTTTACCCTGTTTCTCAGTAGATATAACTCTAATCTCCACCAAATTTATAAGAAATCTTCGTAAACTATACAAAAATAGGTAGACAAAGTTATTTTAATTCATTATATTGTCTTCAATTATTAATGACGTCATAAATTTGCATATATTTTGATATGCAAATTTCTGTCTCGAAACCTGTCAAAATCACCTAAAAGTTGTATTTTGTCTGTTATTATCATGAAATAAGTTTTCAAACCCCCTAATTTGGTGTAAAATTATTCATTGATATGTTATCTGATGTTTCCTGCAAACAAAATTCAGCCAACTCGTGTAGACATCGTTTTTTCCCCATTATTTTGTATGTAAACATATCAGTGTATCGCACATTTTCTTAGGGTTTGTGAATTATGTGCTTACACTTTACCCTGTTTCTCAGCAGATATAAGTCTAACCTCCATCAAATTAATAAACAAACTTTGTAAATCATACAACAACATGTAGACAAAATTATTTTAATTTATTTTATTGTCTTCAATTATTAATGACGTCATGAATTTGTTTATATTTAATATGCAAATTTCTGTTTCAAAACCTGTCAAAATCACCTAAAAGTTGTATTTTGTCTGCTATTATCATGAAATAAGTTTTCTAGCCCCCTAATTTGGTGTAATATTATTCATTGATATGTTATCTGATGTTTCCCGCAAATTTTGTTCCCCCTCCCCCCGCATATTACGATGATTACATTCTGTACATATAATGTACATTCAATTAAAGTTCCTGTTTAAAAAAAAAAGCTCAACAAGCAGTATTTAAATTACTATTGGGGCTAGCCTGTTAACACCAAACTAAATCAAATACAGTATATTACCACATACATCATTGTTTCCTTTTATAGTATCAGCCTGAAGAGGTATCAGACAGAGCCAACTTATTCAGCAGTTGGCCATTAATCCCATTATATGCTATAATATAGTTTGTTGTTTATAAAAATGAATGATCAAATGTATACGGGGTGCAATTTCACGAATTTCAACTAACTTGACACAATTAGCAATGGAAGAAGCATGCATCCTCATTCTTGAAGACATTTCAGATGTGCACGGTTATCATCTGGAGTGCTACCAACTTTTTACCAAGAATCTCAATCGACTGTCAGAGATCTTTTCTGATGCCACAGAACCTTCAACATCCCGTCCACCCAGATTGTCAATTGATGAAGTCATCTTCAATCCTGACTGTATCTTTTGTAAAAAGGAAGGCCAAAAATCAATCAAAGTGAAAAGCTCTTGGACAACAGAAAGTCACCAATGTTAGATTTTGGTGGGTGGCAAAATGTTGTAGATGTTGCAAAGAGAGCTGGTGATGAAAACCTACTTTTGAGAATCATGAAAGTTTATCCGTTTGCTGCAGAAGCAAGATATCACAAGAAATGTCGGAAGAAATATGTGGCGAACTAAGAACCAGATTAATGGAGAAGTGACAAGTACAATGAAGTAGGTAAACAGAGAACAATGGAAATACCCCACAAGAAAGCATTTGCCAGCATATGTAGATTAAATTTTAGATGATGAAATACCTGGCCCTCAACCGCAAAAGCCATTGCCTGTATATAGATGACCAGATTCCCACTGAGCTAGAGAAGTTTCTGAACCATTTGTGAGTGGAGGTCTGTCTTGACCATTACAAAGAGTGACTAGACTTGTCATATATCTTGGGCAAGATATACATGTATGTAGGGCAGCCACAAATGGAAAGTGGAAAATGTCCAAGCACATTCTGATATGGATGACTCTGAGACATCTCTTACGCAGTGCTCAACTGATCACATTCATGAATCGCCTTGTTCTTTCAGAAAGCTATTAATTTTCACTTGAGCTTGAATCTGCCATAGCACAAGCGGACAGTAGACTTTCGGTATTCTATCTAGACAGGTAGTCCGCCGTCCCGTGGAGCCATCAGTCTTCCATTCAGACGTTGACGATTTCAACCAATACATTTCAAGCTTAAGTGGTTCTGGCTCTGTCCACACAGCACATGGGATTATGCTGCAGGAGATTTCTAACAATGAGACAGTTGAATCTTCAAATAGCACAGTATCCTCAGAAGCGCGTAAATGAACCAAAGAACGTTCCTTGGCTATTGAACATGAAGGTCCTCTTCCAATTTGGCTATGTCAACCGATATAAAGCATTCAAACAATGTGCCAGAAATGATATTGCGTGGATGCTTGTCCGAAAAAGTAGTGGAGAAACAGGTCAAGACCTTCCAGGTTGGGCTGGATTTGTCTCAGTAACATGGGAGGTGCCTTCAAATGTGACTACCGTAGATTACTATCCCATAACAGAATTCGATACAATCCAAGAGTGCCCGAGAGCTGCAGAAGAAGCAAGCCGCGAGGTTGGCCAAGACTATGTCATAACAACATTTGACTTGGGCGTGTGCATGAAGGCATATCCTCTCATTTGGAGTCATCCATAGAATTACAAGAAACACATTTTGTTGATTGGCACTTTCCATTTGATTTGTGCATACTCCGAGATGCTTGGAAAGAAAATGGATGGATCCGGACTTGAAGATATCCTCTTGGAAGCTGGTCTGATGTCTTCTGGGTCTATGAAAGACGTCATAACAGGAAAGAACTGCGACAGGAGTCTGCATTGTCACAAGACAATGGTGGAGTGCTTAGAAAGGCTCCTTTTTATGAGTGACTGGAAAAGATGATGCACTTGTTGGTATAGCTGATTAATCAAAGAAATCTTCTAAGAGCTAATTCGATCACCAACAAAGGAGAGGCTTGCTGAGGTTGTGGCTAATGAAGATCTAAAGGCGTTGAAAGAGTCATATGAGAGCTTCAAAGCTGATATTCGAAGAGGATCTCTTGGGAAGACGGCACAATTTTTGATGTCGTATGTTGATTGCGTTTGGATTGATCTTTCATTGATCAGGTCTGTGAAAGAAAATGATTGTCCATTGTACTTGCACTGCCTGTTCCTTATGCCTGACCTGGTCACAATTACTCCCGATATCTGACCTACCTTGATGTATTCTTAGTAAACATTGAAGATTCACTTCCTGGTGCCACGACATTGCTCGAAAGAGGTGCAATAAGTGTTGTCAGGTCGCTCATTCCAGGGAACCGATGTGCTGTCGACAAGACAATTGAGGAGATATTCCTGAAGCATGGCAAATCTCGCGGTGGGGGTGGTAGTGGTGTCGGTGTCTCTGGCATTATTGAGAACTACAGTGTATATCAGAGGTGGGCTCGAACATAATATGCAGATATGACGTTTGATGCTCACCGTGGAAGTAAACATAGAGATCAACAACCAACTCAGATGAGAAAAAGTGAGGGATGTGTATTAAAAAAGGGCCATAGATAATCAGATGTAAAAAGCTTCCTCAATCATGTTGATGTTGATGACAAGAATGGATTGTATGTTTTTTCTTCCGGTACCCGCGTTCCAGCTGAGGTTGAGAAAGATGTCATGCATGCAATTACCACAGGGAAAGACCAGAAAGAGATGTTCATCAAAGAGCGATTAGAGAAAAAGACATCCTTCTCTGACCCCATCAAGAAACTGAAGCTCAAACCTTGGCAGAGACAAATAAGGAATTCAAGCTTAAAACATCCCAATGAAAAGTAAAAGAGTACAAGCAACAAGGGGACATTGCTATCCAGCTGATGGTAAAGGCACAAAGTTCAGGCAGCCAACTTGATCTACGGGAATTCTTTGATCCCTGTTCTCTATACTCAATTGGAACATTGGAACAACTTCTTTGCTAAGACAGATACATTTCAGAGCCTACACTATCTTAGTAAGGATGTAGAGAACTCGCAACCTCCCACCACTGGCACTTCCTTGGTAGTGGAAGATGGTAATGCTGTTTTCTACTACCTAAAAGAGATGCCTGCATACTTCCACGATATTTGCATCAAAATTCACAATGGAGTGTTGTCTAAATGCGATGTCATCTTCAGCGCAGACATGTACATTGTACAAGCCAGACTCTGGGAAGTCAAGTGAAAGGACACGGCGTGGGTGTGCAGAGAAGATGATGATTAAAGGAGGCAAGACCAAAAGACCATCTGACTGGAAGCAGTTCCTAACGAATGATGAGAATAAGAAACAACCTATTCAAGTTCTTCTGGATGTCTGGAGTAAGCACGACACGGCTAAGAGGCTGTATGGGAAAAAATGATATTCATCAAAGAAGGAGAAGCCCAACTGCTCACTTCTCAGAACAGGAGAGAGACACTGTGTTCTGAGATTCCATCTCTCAACTCAACCCAAGAAAAAGCATATTCACGCGTGATCCTTTACTGCCAATACGGTAAAGGAGCAAGGTTGTGATCATGTGAATATCAAAAGCCCTAACATCAATATATTTTGTATATTGCTTCATTACGCTCATCTCACTTCAGACATTACATTACTCTTCCATACAAGGAGAGGCAATAAGCAACGGCTCAAGGATGTCACTAATTTTGCGCAGCGCTCCTGGGACTTACATGCTTTCTCAGGCTGTGACTCCATAAGTGCCTTTAAAGGAACCGTCAAAGTCAAGCCAATCAAACTGTTGCAGCAACGCAACAAATTTTTCAACAAGTTGCTATCCAACCTGGATTAAATGTACATAAAATATACAGAATGTACTAGTTGTAATTAGCGGGGGGGGGGGGGGGGGGGATGCGCATACGAGTTGACTGATACTATTTTTGGGGGGGAAACATCAGATAACATATCAATGAATAATATTACACCAAATTAAGGGGGCTAGAAAACCTGTTTCATGATAATAGCAGACAAAATACAACTTTCAGGTGATTTTGACAGATTTTGAGACAGAAATTTGCATATTTAATATATGCAAATTTATGACGTCATTAATAATTGAAGACAATTAAATAAATCAAAATAATTTTGTCTACCTATTGTTGTATATTATGGATCCCAACGAACAAAATGACACCCAAAAAGTAGGATCATAGGGGGGGTGCACGGTAGCCCCCCTGGCCCACGGACTACAGTCATACATGTATTATTCTTTTGTTGAACAAACAAGACAGAAAGAAGAAAAAAGGTCAAACTGAATTTACTTACCAGATCACACTGCACTCTCCACCATGCAGAATGCAGCCAAAGGTCATGCCAGGATTTCTGCAAGAAACTTCCAACTATCTATTGCTGGAAAACAAATGAGAATTTTCAACATAAAACAAATTATTTGCCAAGTTGACCCGGCCGGGTCAAGTCATAGATTACAGTTTGAATGCATGAACGTACCGTTTCACTGGTTCTAAGATAAAAATTGGATAACTCGTATCAAGCAATTTCGTAAGTTCACCTTAATTTTGGAAACACGTACCAGTAATTAAAATTTTACTAATTTTACATGGGAAAGAAATATGTATTTTTTCTTCTGTCTGATTTTTAAATCAATTAGATCTAAATAAAGAAAAAACGGGGGAGAAAGATTTTGTACCAGAACTTCCAGAAGTGGTACAAAATCCGTAGCAATTGATCAATCTCCCCGTTGTGCGAGCCGTAAGAAGTACTGTCTACATGGGGAATTTCTGTTTTATTAAAGAATGACCCATACCAGATGGTTATTTCTGTCTAACCCTAACCATGCCAACCAGATCCTGACTTAAACTAAAGTAGACTTTATATCACCAACCTAGACCGAAAAATTGGGTTAATGTCGCTATTCATAATTTGAAAAAAGGGTCCCTATTCATAATACAAGAAAAGGGTCGCTATATTCATAATACGAAAAGAGGGTCGCTATTCATAATACGAATAAGGGTCGCTATTCATAATGCGGAATGAGGGTCGCTATTCATAATGCGGAATGAGGGTCGATCGCTATATTCATAAGGGTCATTATTCATAATCGAAGAAGAGGGTCGCTATTCATAATAGGAAAAGAGGATCGCTATTCATATTAAGAAATGAGGGTCACTATTCATAATAGGAGAAGAGGGTCGCTTTTCATAAGGCGAGAAGAGGGTCGCTACTCACAATACGAATGAGGGTCATTATTCATTAAAAAAAATGAAAATGAAATAAGCAATAAACAAAATGATAATGATATTTTGAAAAAATGGAAAGACAACCCAAGGCTGTGCTGTAGGGGGGGGGGGAGGGATGCCCCATAGCCCCGAATATTTATAGAAAACATTTATTGAAAACATATTGAAAACATACATTTCTGGACAAAAAAAGAGAAACAAAGACCTGCCCCGATAATGTATGTGACCCATCATCCCAGGCCCCAGCCCCCCCCCCCCATCAGTCCGACCACGCTGTGCCATTCGGCCCACCCACCCCGAAGTATTTCCTTGGTACAAGTGGATCTTATCGACAACTCCTGTCCAAGTAGTTGATAGATGACGTAGCTTGTGTGTGTTTCGGGGGGGGGGGGGATGGCGGTGTAACTACATGTACAGTGTGAGTCAAAAAAAAAGTTTACACCTAGAAAATGGCAAATTATTAAAAAAATCATTGATGAACATTAAATTGTTATATGTCTTATGAAAGAGTGTTTTATCCCAAATCATTTGGTACCATTTTGTGGTGGTATGTGTTAACGCTTGGATGAACAAAAGACATTGTTTGCGAGAGTGCAAAAATCGAATTGCGCCAAAGTTGCTTTATATGTGATGTTTCAATAAAACAATTGGGATTTGGGTATTAATTCGGTCTTTGCAGATCCAAATAACATCCCTAACAAAATTAATCATGCCACACATATCAAATATTGAATATCAAATATCAACAAACATTTGTGCGTGTGTGTGTGGGTGTGTGTGACTTTGCCCTTTACAAAAATTTGATACATTCAATTCATTCTCTCACTCCGCTAATCCCAACATAATACATACTGTAGGCATCACTTTGGCGTAAATCAATTTTTGCACTCTCGCAAACAATGCCACCTGTTCATCCATACCACACAAAAATGGTACCAAATGATTTGGGATTAAACACTCGTTCATAAGATGTATAATAAGTTACTGTTCATAGATGATTTTATAAATAATTAGCAATTTTCTAGGCGTAAACTTTTTTTTGACTCACACGGTATGTTGCCATCAAGGGGCTGATCTATCATGTCCCTAATCCTCAGGAAAGGGAGGAAGCAACAGAGAGGGGGTTGTAGGGAATTAAGTTATAAACCATATTCAAGCTTTTTGTAAATATACAATATTGCACAATATATTTTCTATATTAAAGGAAATTAGATTATCAAGATTTTAAGCGAGATAAGATACGATTTTGTGACCGTAAGGCATTATGTGAACGGTGGCGTCCCCTGTATTATTTTTTTTTATAGTTTTTTTTTATTTTTTAACTTTGATAAAATATAGAGACATCTCCATAATCTAGCTAATATATTTCCCTCGCTCCCTATCGTAATATGTCCCCCTTGTGGGAAATCTTCCAACCCCCCCCCCCCCTAACTGAGAGTCAAACTTATGAAAATTTACTTTGTTGACAAGACGATATATATTTCACAAGGAAACCACCTCAGCCCCCCCCCCCGAAAATAAATATAAATGTTGACATCTGAATGTTTGAGTCGCCATCATATAGGCGTAGGCGGCAGGGGGGGGGGGGTGAAAGGGGGGCCGGGGATATTTCATAAATTCAAATTCAAATTTTATTGATTTCAATTTTTATTTTTTTAAAAAACATTGGTGTTAACAAATTTCAAAGTTATTATAGTGTAACATAGATAGGCTAAGTGAGTATAAGAGTAAAGATGACAATAACCAGGAATGAAAAAAAAATAACCTACTTCTGCATGTCTCTTCTGGAATATAATACAGGGATAATGATAAATAATTGTTACATTTTGTTTCCTTCCTCTTTTTTCTTTTCAAATAAAAAGAAAAAAGAAAGATAAAAAACATGACAGTAAGACGATGCTTTATGATTACCAACCTCTCCTACAAAATGACCCTGACAATAAGACCCTATTTCAAACTTGCGGGAGACAGTGAGCATGGGTATATAATGCCTTTTACGATACTAAATTCCATCAAGATAATATGGTTTAAAAAAAATTAAAAACAAACAAACAACATTTCCCTGTTCTCAATGTGTATGATGAATTGACAGGTAGTATGTTTATTGTTATGTGTTTGTTCTGTTATTATCTATTTTGTTCCATAATCATACATGGCAGCCTTACTCTTCGTTTATTTTGTTCCCTATATTGTATTTCATTTTGTTTTTTGATTTGGCTTTTTAAAGTAATTCATTCTTTATATTTTGTATGTAAACCTTTAAGCATGTATCCATGGACTTAATTAACTATTACATGTATTTTCTGTGTTTGCTTTAAATTAACCATGTCTCAAATTAATGAATGTTTAATTTTTCTAAACCTGCATGCATATTTATGTTTACATTCTGTATTTTTCTTCTCACCCCTCTCACCCCTCTCCGGGCAGTAACTAGGCTCATGGTCTGGTCCCCCCCCCCCTGCCCCCGCTATATAATTTGGAGGTCCAAAAGTCCTACTAGAAGCTACTTTCTACAAAAACAATATTGTTGTATAAACAATTACTAGTTTCTTAAATAACTATGATAATGGGCCTGCTTGGTCTACTTAATATCTCAGTGGTGTAAGATCAGTCAGGGGCAGAGTGGTGGGGCAAGATTTCCAACAAGGAGGAGCGGGAATGTCTCTAAATAGAGCTTCCTTAGGACCTACTAAACGATATTAGGCTAGGAGCCACCAGCAAAAATTTCAATTTAAGGGTGTGGGTACAGGAGCCCCCAAAATTAAAATATTGTTGTTTTTTGTGGTTGTACAAAACACCATTTTTGGTACAGGGCTTCCTTATGAACTTCTCAACGTTGTAAGGATAAAAGCCCCCAACAAAATATTAATATTCATAAATGTGTGATGGGGGCGGGGGCGTCGTGCCACAGCCCCAATGTTATATGTAATGTATGATCACATTGGTTTGTGGTTATACGACCGCCTGTTTTAGTACAGGGCTCTCCTAGGACCTACTGAATAATATTAAGGAAGGAGCCCCAGGTAAAACATTTACATAAATGTGAAGGGGGCAGGGGCCTTGTCCCGGATCCCCAATATGTATATTCACATTCATTGTTGTTGGTCCTGTCAAGAGTTGAATAGATGATGCAAGAGCAACAGAACAGAAGTAGATCAATCAGGCCCTCCCTCCAGGGAAAAAATAATGTTTATTTTTCGGGGCTACTTTTCAAGCTTGCCTGCATGAAAATAACACTCTAAAATTTGTTTTGCATTGAACTCTATGCAAAATTACAGGGGCTCTCTTCTGACTTTCGGGGGCTCTTTTGGGCATTTCGGGGGGCTATTTCGCCCTGAGCCCCTGTGTATTTTTTTCACTGCCTCCCTCTTCTTGAAAAGGAGGAACTAAACATGGGCAGCATACCATGCATCTTATCAACCGGCGATTGAATACCCACCAACTAAGGGTGCGTTTAATCGACACTTTTTCACCCTAGAATCACGGTTTCTAAAGACGTTTAGTTTAAAACGCAATGCGTTCAAGCGATTTTTTCGTCGGTCGTAAAAATAAACGTGTTTGAAAACACAAACATCAAACGCTGAAAAAGATGCGTTTTGTATCATGATTCTGCAGAATCACGGTCGCTAAAATTCGATTGAACGGACGGAGTTTTCAATCATGATTGTATGACGGAGCCTGTTCCGGTTTGGACAAAAACCGCGCGCCTGCTTTTCATGCAATTTGCGTTTACTATACCATGCGCTTTATCATGGCCTGTTCCGTTATGTTATACCCTGTTTTCCTTTTTTTCTCTTTCTGTCTTTCCTTATGTTATTCTTTGTTTCTTCCTTCTATTCTTATGTTATTCTTTGTTTTTTTTTCCTTCTATCACCTTCCCTTATGTTATTCTTTATTTTTATAATTCTATCACTTTCTCTTCTGTTATTCTCTGTTTCTTCTTTCTATTCTTATGTTAATCTTTGTTCTTTTCCTTCTATCACATTCTCTTATGTTCTTCTTTGTTTTAATCATTCTATCACTTTCTCTTTCTGTCTTTCCTTATGTTATTCTTTGTTTCTTCCTTTTATTCTTATGTTATTCTTTGTTTTTTCTTCTATCACCTTCTCTTATGTTATTCTTTGTTTTTATAATTCTATCACTTTCTTTTTTGTTATTATTTGTTTCTTCCTTCTATTCTTATGTTAATCTTTGTTTTTTCCCTTCACTCACATTCTCTTATGTTCTTCTTTGTTTTAATCATTCTATCACTTTCTCTTTCTGTCTTTCCTTACGTTATTCTTTGTTTCTTCCTTTTATTCTTATGTTATTCTTTGTTTTTCCTTCTATCACCTTCTCTTATGTTATTCTTTGTTTTTATAATTCTATCACTTTCTTTTTTGTTATTCTTTGTTTCTTCCTTCTATTCTTATGTTAATCTTTGTTTTTTCCCTTCACTCACATTCTCTTATGTTCTTCTTTGTTTTAATCATTTTATCACTTTCTCTTTTGTTATTCTTTGTTTCTTCCTTCTATTCTTATGTTAATCTTTGTTTTTTCCCTTCACTCACTTTCTCTTATGTTATTCTTTGTTTTAATCATTCTATCACTTTCTCTTTCTGTCTTTCCTTATGTTATTCTTTGTTTCTTCCTTTTCTTCTAATGTTATTCTTTGTTTTTCCTTCTATCACCTTCTCTTATGTTATTCTTTGTTTTTTATAATTATATCACTTTCTCGTATGTTCTTCTTTGTTTTAATCATTCTATCACTTTCTCTTTCTGTCTTTCCTTATGTTATTCTTTGTTTCTTCCTTGCATCACATTCTCTTTTTGTCTTTCATTATGTTATTCTTTATTTTTATAATTCTATCACTTTCTCTTCTGTTATTCTCTGTTTCTTCTTTCTATTCTTATGTTAATCTTTGTTTTTCCCTTCACTCACATTCTCTTATGTTCTTCTTTGTTTTAATCATTCTATCACTTTCTCTTTTGTTATTCTTTGTTTCTTCCTTCTATTCTTATGTTAATCTTTGTTTTTTTCCCTTCACTCACTTTCTCTTATGTTATTCTTTGTTTTAATCATTCTATCACTTTCTCTTTCTGTCTTTCCTTATGTTATTCTTTGTTTCTTCCTTTTCTTCTAATGTTATTCTTTGTTTTTCCTTCTATCAACTTCTCTTATGTTATTCTTTGTTTTTTATAATTATATCACTTTCTCGTATGTTCTTCTTTGTTTTAATCATTCTATCACTTTCTCTTTCTGTCTTTCCTTATGTTATTCTTTGTTTCTTCCTTGCATTACATTCTCTTTTTGTCTTTCATTATGTTATTCTTTATTTTTATAATTCTATCACTTTCTCTTCTGTTATTCTCTGTTTCTTCTTTCTATTCTTATGTTAATCTTTGTTTTTTCCCTTTACTCACATTATCTTATGTTCTTCTTTGTTTTAATCATTCTATCACTTTCTCTTTCTGTCTTTCCTTATGTCATTCTTTGTTTCTTCCTTTTATTCTTATGTTATTCTTTGTTTTTCCTTCTATCACCTTCCCTGATGTTATTCTTTGTTTTTATAATTTTATCACTTTCTCTTTTGTTATTCTTTGTTTCTTTCTTCTATTCTTACGTTAATCTTTGTTTTTTCCCTTCACTCACATTCTCGTATGTTCTTCTATGTTTTAATCATTCTATCACTTTCTCTTTCTGTCTTTCCTTATGTTATTCTTTGTTTCTTCCTTGCATCACATTCTCTTTTTGTCTTTCATTATGTTATTCTTTGTTTTTATAATTATTCTATCACTTTCTCTTTTGTTATTCTTTGTTTCTTCCTTCTATTCTTATGTTATTCTTTGTTTTTTACTTCTATCACCTTTTCTTATGTAATTCTTTGTTTTAAGCATTCTATCACTTTCTCTTTCTGCCTTTCCTTATGTCATTCTTTGTTTCTTCCTTATATCACCTTCTCTTACGTTATTCTTTGTTTTAATAACTCTATCACTTTCTCTTTTTGTCTTTCCTTATATAATTTTTTGTTTCTTCCTTCCATCACCTTCTAATTCTTTGTTTTATTATTGCGATCTATGCTCAAAACAGCAGTCGACAGTCGGCTGTAAACAATTCCAAAAAGCGCGCGCCGAAGTTGACCTATACTTCCTGGGTCAAACTGCGAGGGTGATGCGCAGTGGCTGGGCTCGAAATGAGCTAGAATCAGTGTTGATGAAAAATCGCTTGAACGCTAACCGCAATGACCTTGTTTTTTGTAACGGCGTTTTGATTTGTGATTCATGTTTGTGATTCTAGCTTCGAAAATTCGATTGAACGCACCCTTAATCTGCACTTCTACCTCTGTTCTATGACAAGCCTGCTCCACCAGCCATGATCAAGCACGGGATAGATGTCAATAAAACAAGCCAATGCCTTTTCTGCAAGCATCATACAGGCAAATGGGTAATCCATTTCTTGACGAGTTTGATGATCTGATAACATCCTGGGGAGGGGTCTAAAAAAGTTCAATCGATATTGTATGTGCCCCCCCCCCCCTGTGGCTAGGTGCCTGCCTAGGACCCTCTACCCCAATTATTAGCACTGATGTTTTCTTAGTTTCGTACCGTATTTTACATATGAGGATAATGATTTGTTTAAAAATGTTGGAGCTCCGACACAATGTCCCCGCTCGGAGTTCCTACTCTACTATTGTTCTGTAGGTCCTAAGGATTATCCCTATACCAAAAAATTGGGATCGTATAACAACAATCCATGTGCGTTTACCTTATATATCTTTCAGGGGATCCGGGACAACGCCCCTGCCCCCTTCACATTTATGTAAATGTTTTACCTGGGGCTTCTTCCTTAATATTATTCAGTAGGTCCTAGGAGAGCCCTGTACCAAAAACAGGCGGTTGTATAAACACAAACAAGTGAGATCTTACATTACATTGGGGCTCTGGCACGAGGTCCCCGCCCCCGCCCCCATTACACATATATGAATATTATGCCGGGGGCTCCTACCCTACCATCATTCAGCAGGTCTTAATGAAGCCATGAACCAAAAATGGCGTTTCTACAACAAAAACTCAATGTTATATTACCTTATAAATTATTGGTTGGCTACGAGGCGACGCCCCCGCCTCCACACCCTAATAATGATATTTTCACTGGGGCTCCTACCCTAATATTGTTCAGTAGGTCCTAAGGAAGCCCTGTACCGAAACTGGCATTTGTACAAAAACAAATCAATGTTATTACCTTCTAAATGTATTTGGGGGCTCCTAAAAGATGCCCCCGCCCCACACCCTCAAATTGAAATTTTTGCCGGGGGCTCCTACTAGCCTAATATTGTTCAGTAGGTCCTAAGCCTAAGGAAGCCCTCTACCAAAAATAGTGCTTTTATCAGGCAAGTAAGGATAATTTCACTAGCCACCAGACTATATATACCTAACCCTAACCCTAACCCTAACCCTAAGGCCTAACCCTAACCCTACCCCTAACCCTAGGTCTTTTACATTTATGTACTTTAACCTTACTGGTGGGGTATTCTAAAGTTAGGCCCCAGAGCATTACATTCTCTATATGTAATCTTTGGAACTATTCAGTCGTTGGCTTTACAATTATTAAAGATTAGAGTCTAGTTTCAGCTGCTTCATAACCCATTGACAGCAAACTTCCAGGCCGGTAGGCCTGGCTGAAAGAGGCAGCACAGCTCTGGACAAATGAATTAAATTATACTGCACTATCTAGTAAGGTTGCACATATATGGATCTAAAATCTATGCACATGACAGCCATAAATCAACTTACCATTCATTATAGATCTCCTGTGATCAATCCTTTATCGTGAATCTTTTTACAAAGGCTGCAGGTACATCCGATTTTAAAGGCTTCACTGTGAGTCTGTCTCCCATTTTAGAGTTTACAGTTGCATTCAGTTTACATGCACTAAAAATATTTGACCTGTAGAGGGCGCTATTTTGAAAAATACTCATTTTCAATACCCCTTTAACAAAAAAAGTTTACAAATATGAAAAACAATAACAACAAAATAGTGATTATGAAATATCATAATATTTTTAGAAATAAAAAATTTATCAATTTTGTTTGGAATAGTAGGTTAAAATTAGATGAATAAGGTGGACAACTCCTTCATGCCCCCATTCACTTTGTACAGGACACACAGAGATAACCCTAATCTTAAAGTTCTCTTTACATGCAACTTTGGGCTTTATTTCTCATTTCTTGCACATAGTGTTATGCAAAATACTTCTAAAATCATGTTCCAGCACAAAAAAAAGTAAAAATAGACATTCAATATCATTTTAAAGTAAATTCAAAGTTTTGTTAGTTGGACAACCACAGCAATTATAGAAATCGTGATTTTTACCCCAAAAATCATATAAAATCGAAAATGAGTAAAATTGATGTGAAACTGAATTTTTCTAAATCAGTGATACTAACACTTCAAAATAAAATAAAATTGGCAGATAAGATGACTTTTAAAAAAATTACACAAGATCCAAATTCTTTTAACAGATAGATCACTAAATGCTTATAAGTCAACTTCATTTTTTGGGCAATTTTGAAAAATTGCATATTTTTTCTCAAAATTGATTATTTCATCAGATGGGAATCGAAATTCTCTTTCCATCTATCTAGGTGAGGTTTGGATTCACCAAAAATTGACAAAGTTACAAGAGTTTTCCATAAGCCACTGGACAACTACTGCAGATGAGAGAGAGAGAGAGAAAGAGAGAGAGAGAGAAGGTGGGAGAGGGAGAGGGGAGGGAGAGGTATAGAGAGAGAGAGGGCGGGAGAGAGAGAGAGAACGCAAAGAGAGAAATAGAGAGGAAGGGAAAATAGAGGGGAGGGGAAGATAGAGACAGAGAGCGACCGAATTGGAGATGACGTGAGGAGGGAGATAAGGGGAAGAGAAAGAGAGAGAGAGGGGCGGGAGAGGGAGAGGGGAGGGGAAGAAGAGACAGAGAGCGACCGAATCGGAGAGGACGTGAGGAGGGAGATAAGGGGAAGAGAAAGAGAGAGAGAGAGAGAGAGGGGGGGGGCGGGAGAGGGAGAGGGGAGGAAGAGGTATATAGAGAAAGAGAGAGAGAGAAAGAGAAAGGGAAAATGGAGGGAGGGGAAGATACAGAGAGAGAGCGACCGAATTGGAGAGGACGTGAGGAGGGAGATAAGGGGAAGAGAAAGAGAGAGAGAGAGAGAGAGGGGCGGGAGAGGGAGAGGGGAGGGAGAGGTATATAGAGAAAGAGAGAGAGAGAAAGAGAAAGGGAAAATGGAGGGAGGGGAAGATACAGAGAGAGAGAGCGACCGAATTGGAGATGACGTGAGGAGGAAGATAAGGGGAATAAAGAGGGAGATAGAGAGAGAGGGAGAGAGTGAGAGAGAGAGGGGGGAGGTAGAGAGAGAGAGAGAGAGAGAGAAAAAAAAGAGAGAGAGAGAGAGAGAAGGTGTGAGAGGGGAGGGAGAGGTATATAGAGAGAGGGGGCGGGAGAGAGAGAGAGAGAGAACGCAAAGAGAGAAAGAGAGAGAAAGGGAAAATAGAGGGAGGGGAAGATAGAGAGAGAGACCGACCGAATTGGAGATGACGTGAGGAGGGAGATAAGGGGAAGAGAAAGAGAGAGAGAGGGGCGGGAGAGGGAGAGGGGAGGGGAAGAAGAGACAGAGAGCGACCGAATCGGAGAGGACGTGAGGAGGGAGATAAGGGGAAGAGAAAGAGAGAGAGAGAGAGAGAGGGGGGGGGGGGGGCGGGAGAGGGAGAGGGGAGGAAGAGGTATATAGAGAAAGAGAGAGAGAGAAAGAGAAAGGGAAAATGGAGGGAGGGGAAGATACAGAGAGAGAGCGACCGAATTGGAGAGGACGTTAGGAGGAAGATAAGGGGAAGAGAAAGAGAGAGAGAGAGAGAGGGGCGGGAGAGGGAGAGGGGAGGGAGAGGTATATAGAGAAAGAGAGAGAGAGAAAGAGAAAGGGAAAATGGAGGGAGGGGAAGATACAGAGAGAGAGAGCGACCGAATTGGAGATGACGTGAGGAGGAAGATAAGGGGAATACAGAGGGAGATAGAGAGAGAGGGAGAGAGTGAGAGAGAGAGAGAGGGGGAGGTAGAGAGAGAGAGAGAGAGAAAAAGAGAGAGAGAGAGAGAAGGTGTGAGAGGGGAGGGAGAGGTATATAGAGAGAGGGGGCGGGAGAGAGAGAACGCAAAGAGAGAAAGAGAGAGAAAGGGAAAATAGAGGGAGGGGAAGATAGAGAGAGAGACCGACCGAATTGGAGATGACGTGAGGAGGGAGATAAGGGGAAGAGAAAGAGAGAGAGAGAGAGAGAGAGAGAGAGAGAGGAGGGAGAGGGGAGGGAGAGGTATATAGAGAAAGAGAGAGAGAGAGAGAGAGAGAGAGAGAGAAAGTGAAAATGGAGGGAGAAGGAGAGAGAAAGAGAGCACGAAGGGGAGAAGAAGGGAGAAGGAACAGAAGGGTAAGTGGGAGGGAGATAGAGAGAGGGAGAGGGAAAGAGAGAGGGAGAGAGAGAGAGAAAGGGAGAAAGGGGAGGGGAGGAAGAAGTTTATAGAGAAAGACGAGGAGGCGGGAGGGAGAGAGAATACAAAGAGAGAAACTGTGAAAACACAACGGCGGATTTCATTTTTTATCCATGTAAACCTGAAAGATGATTTCTTGTTTAAAAATGCTGCGTTGTAATTGTTAATCAACAGTGCATTTACATAAAATGCCCCTTGATGAGTCAAATTGTTTGTTTTGTAATGAGGGGGGGGGGGCATCCTCTTCCAGTCTGACTGACTCCATCTCTTAAAAAAAAAAGGGGGGGGACTTAGGTGACATGGATAAATTTATCGATCTCGAGTGTCAATTTTCATGACTTTCTTCTTCGGTCGATTTCCACCCCCCCCCCCCCCCACCCACCGGATCTGTCTGCTTTCACTTTATAGACCAACATTGTAACGAAGGGGTGCCAAGTAGTGCGCGTGAAAGACAAAGAGAAAGATTAAGAGTACGAGAGAAAGATAAAAGAGATACAAATATAATGTCAAGAAAGAGACTATAGAGAAAAAACGGGGATTATTTTGCCAATCACATAGAGAAGAACATGAAAAAGACTTCAAAAGTAAAACATAGAAAAAGAAAACAAAGCAGATTGGGAAATAACGACATGGACATTAAAGCTTTGTGCTCAGAGGCGGCGCCCCCGCCCCTCCCACTTTTCCAAGCACCCATAAAATTTCCCTTTTTGAATGTGAAAAGTGCCTCATTTTACGTATGTGCCCTATTCCTTTACAAGCAGTTCCCTTCCCTTTCTGATACATGCCCCTTTTCTCCTCTGATATGTGCCCTATTAACTTTGATACGTGTCCCTTTTTCATTTCTAATAACTACTCTATTTCTTTCTCATCAATGCTCCCCTTTTTTCCTCTCTTTTATGTCAGCCCCTTCCCCTCTTCATAAATACTCTTTTTCACCTCTGATAAATACCCCTATTACAATCTGATAGGTGCCCCTTTTCCTTCGACAGATGCCCCTTTTCCATTCTCCTAAGTACCCTTTTCATCTTTGGTGAGTGCCCCTTTTCAGGTTCGAAGTTTACTTTGACATGTCCAATTGTGCACCTTTTCTTTTCTGAAAAGTACCCATTTACCTTTCTTTAAAACGTACGCCCCTATTGAGCGACTTAGAGAAGTTTTTTTTCATTTATTTCCCCCTAAGCTCACCCGCATTAACAATTGGTATGATCATGTTACTTATGAAATGTATTTTCAGTCTTTCATGATTAAATCATGCTTAAACCCCTTTAGAATGTGTTGTTATTTTGTTTTTCATTATAAAACTTTTCGTACTCGATGTCATGAATCTTAAAACTTTCTTAATATTCAGACCATCGCACCCAACTGCAAAGTATGATTCTTAAAACAGTTTATTGGACTACGTACAGAGAGAACAAATATTGAAATTATCACTGATACTCTAATCACAAACATGAAAATGTAGGGGTATAAATCACCTTCTAAATAGGTTACAATTATTAACATGTTGATGTTTCTCTTTGTAGGTGCCCCGTTTATTCCAGAAAGTGCCCTTTCTTGCTGGTGCCCCCCACACTTTGGAAGATGCTCCGATGCCCTAGTCTGTGCTTAACCTTTTCTAAATTTAGCTTTGATTCAGATCAGACGACGGACTCCCTATCGTCGATCGTCGAGTCAGAAGACGATATTTAATGATATTTGGTTTATGGGTGATCAAAATGCTGACCCTGGCAGCCAGTAGGCACAAAAAGGCCTTCAAAATAATTAAGTATTCTTAAAAACAGGGTCAAATTATTAATTTTTTTCCCATATTTTTCCCTTCACAGGGATTTTATTGATTTTCATTTGAAGCACACACAAAAATATATATTGAAGGTAAATTACATTATAACATAAATAAAATTGGCTTTTCAAGATACAAGGATTGTTGAACTGTTGAGCTAACATAAAACTAACAAATCAATAATTCATTTCTGACACTCATGGAAAGAAAAACAAATACAGATTTTTTTTTTTTTTAGTAAACAAATTCCTGAATTGAAAACATTTTCTTGTGAATTTATTATTTCTGCAATTCGAATTTGCAATATACTTTTCGTTTTTGAAGTAATTTATAATCGAAACTCTAATATTATCAAAGTCGGGCAATTGTTTCTTTATTATGCAAGTATACACCATCTGTCGCACCACAATTAGTATACAATTCAATGCATAATTATTCGAACCTTTTAAACCAAATAATTTATCTTGTAATGAAAATGTTAATTTATTTCCAGTTCCAGTATTAATCCAGTGTTCTAACCTACCGCAAATATTTTTAACATGCGTACAATCACATGGCAGATGTATAACTGTTTCAATCTGTTCATTACAAAATTTACATTCTTTTCTTGGGACTAAATTCATTTTAAACAGTAGATCGTTCGTATATAATATGCGTTGCAAGACTTTAAACTGAAATCATCGTAAGCCTACATCAATGGT